TGAGGACCCCTGTTTGCCTGCGGGTGTCGCGGAGCAGGAGGCTGCAGAAGGTAGGAATGAGTGCTGACAGTGTGGAGTGTACCTGTCTGATTCTTGCTTTGGAAGCTTCCTCTCAGGGATGTACTCCACCGTGTGAGGTGTGGGGTGTCGGTGTGCCCCTAGTGGAGGATGTCTCCTAGTTAGACTACTCAGGGGTCAGGGACCCACTTGAGCAGGCAGTCTGTCCGGTCTCAGATCTCAACCTCTGTGTTGGGAGATCCACTGCTCTCTTCAAAGCTGTCAGACAGAGTCGCTTGCATCTGCAGAGGTTTCTGCTGCTTTGTTGTTGTTGTTGTTGTTGTTATTGTTTAGCTCTGCCCTGTCCCCAGAGGTGGAGTCTACAGAGACTGGCAGGCCTCCTTGAGCTGTTGTGAGCTCCACCCAGTTTGATCTTCCCAGGGCTTTGTTTACCTACTTAAGCCTCAGCAATGGCAGGTGCCCCTCCCCCAGCCTCGCTGCTGACTTGCGGTTAGATCGCAGACTGGTGTGCTAGCAATGAGGAAGGCTCCGTGGGCATGGGACCCTCCCTGCCAGGTGTGGGATATAATCTCCTGGTGTGCCCGTTTGCTTAAAGCGCAGTATTGGGGTGGGAGTTACCCAATTTTCCAGGTGTTGTGTGTCTCAGTTCCACTGGCTAGGAAAAGGGATTCCCTTCCCCCTTGCGCTTTCCAGGTGAGGCGATGCCTCGCCCTGCTTCAGCTCTGGCTGGTCGAGTTGCAACAGCTGACCAGCACCGATTGTCCGGCACTCCCCAGTGAGATGAACCCAGTACCTCAGTTGATAATGCGGAAATCACCTGTCTTCTGTGTCGCTGGTGCTGGGAGCTAGAGACTGGAGCTGTTCCTATTCAGCCATCTTGCTCTGCCCCCCCTTACTTTCAGTTTTTAAAGAAAAAATTTGCTCATAATTTTTGTTTCAAGGCTCAATTACTATCATTTGGATATAACTTTGTCCAGGACAAAGAGAGGCATAGCTATCTGCGATTTATTAGTTTGACACTGGATCCCCATTTTCAGACTGAGGAGGATTTCAGACTGATGAGGAGTGTCAGGATTCACATAGAGTAGGAATGGAGTGAGTAGGGAGGAAAGAGTAGCAGCTGAGTCAGGGCAGGAGGTGGAGGGCAGGTTACTTAGAGCATCTAAGGCCACTGGAATTTTACTTTTTTTCTGAGATAGAAATCTATTGGAAGGATTTAAGCAGATGATTTAATGTGAAGAACTCTGAGGTTGATTTGAGTTTCTAATTTAAAAAAAGAGGGAAATCATTCCACAATGTATAAGTTACTACCATCAGTCTCACCCACATACTCATTTCTTTTTGAGACTTCAGAAGGTTTTTAAGCATTGCAAATTCATCAGGGGAGGAATGACTAGTGGACTGAATATGTTGTGTGAATAACAATACCAATTTGGCAGGAAGATAACACCTTCTGTATCCTCAACTGGATTCAGTAATACACAGGAATGAGTACACACGAGGAAAAGAAGGTGAATCGGTCTGTGTGGTGATATTTTTCAAAGTGTATACTTCAGAGTTAAATATTATTAATGGCTTAATAATAAGATGATTTGTAAAATTAGTAACAAAAATAACATCTTATCAGGTAGTTGTGAGACAACTTCAGCAGAAACGAAATGATGTCTTAAACAAACAATCATCAACAAAAGCTTTGCTGGATGCTTCATCGCGTCACTGCGTCCATTTAGAAAATGAGATGCAGGATTCAAGGAAGAAATTAGACCGGATAAGTCAAGTATGTATGAAACTTTGCACGCCAACAACTGTTAATCTGGAGCTGGTTAACTAATATAAAGTGTCGGGGTACTAATTTTAGTGGATGGCTTTCTTTTGTATTTTTATTATAATTAATTTTATTAAAATTTTATAGTGCATGCTTTCTTTTGTATTTTCATTAATTATTTTTAAATGTTATTATCTTTATAATGCACCTGTATTTTTTTTTTTTTTTTTGAGACGGAGTCTCGCTCTGTCGCCCAGGCTGGAGTGCAGTGGCGCAATCTTGGCTCACTGCAAGCTCCGCCTCCTGGGTTCACGCCATTCTCCTGCCTCAGCCTCCCGAGTAGCTGGGACTACAGGCGCCCGCCACCACGCCTGGCTAATTTTTTGTATTTTCGGTAGAGACGGGGCTTCACCCTGTTAGCCAGCATGGTCTCGATCTCCTGACCTGGTGATCCGCCCGCCTCAGCCTCCTAGAGTGCTGGGATTACAGGCGTGAGCCACCGCGCCCGGCCTGCACCTGTATCTTAATCTCTGGCTTTCATTCTGCCATTTTTTATACATATTTTTTTTTCTTAAATATTTAACCTTAGGAAAGTTGAGAATTATGCATCATTTCTCACAGAAGTTCAGAGAGGTTTTTTTTTCCCTGTTAAACAGTCTGTTTTTAGTGATTTCTCTATTGGCATGGTGAGGCAAGCCAGATTAATTCAGAGGATAATGTCTAATGGAATGTTTCAGATAATTATCTTATTTTTAATCTCTACTTTTCTGAATGAATAAAGAACCTGTGTATACTTATTTCATAGATTTCAGGTTAACTTGTTCAGAAAGGCCATTCTACTAAATCAATTTTGATTTTGATGAAAGTCCTCACTCTCTCTCTGTATTGGGCTCAGAGAGCACACTCTGTCTCTATATGAATATGGACAGTTGGCATTTGCCAACATGTATCTATTTTCTCTTGTTTATAGAAAAAGGTAAACTAAAAAGGGGGTTATAGAAGGTCAGCAAAGGATGGGTTTGAGATGTTTGGGTTGGTTAAGTGGGCATTTAGACAACAAGTCTTCTCCTTTGGCATGTTTAATGGGCATCCTTGCAGTTTAAGATGACGCTTTTAAATTACTTCTCTCCTAATGATGACTTGAGTCCTGCTATTCGGTGGGAGAGTCAATAAGATCCTGTAGGATCTTATTTAGAACTGACTTTGTTGATTTTAATTTTGTTCCTGCCTTTTTTTTTTTTTTTTTTTTTGAGACAGAGTCTCGCTCTGTTGCCCAGGCTGGAGTACAGTGGCGTGATCTCGGCTCACCGCAAGCTCTGCCTTCTGGGTTCACGCCATTCTCCTGCCTAAGCCTCCCAAGTAGCTGGGACTACAGGTGCCCACCACCGTGCCCAGCTAATTTTTTGTATTTTTAGTAGAGAGGCGGTTTCACCGTGTTAGCCAGGATGGTCTTGATCTCCTGACCTCGTGATCCGCCAGCCTCGGCCTCCCAAAGTGCTGGGATTACAGGCATGAGCCACCGGGCCCTTCCCTGTTTCTGCTTATTTTTAAATTTTCTTCTTGTTTCCCTAGAAAGGAAAGATGATGCTTGTTTAGTTTTAAATATTAAAAAATGTGCAAGTTGCTTTGCTATAATAAAACTAAATGCATACATACAAAAAATAAAATTATAGTTGATGTGGTAGCGTTTAGAATTCAAAATATAAATGCTTAGCATGAGGTAATCCTTTATCTTTCCACATTTTACCAGTTTGTAAGTTTGAGTGTTTATCTGATAAAATGTAATTCAAAAGCAAGAAGAATGTTGTGTTTTAGTCCTAGAGCAGGGGTCAGTGAACTTTTCTGTAAAGGGCCAGATAGTATTTTTTAAGGCTTTGTGAGCCATAAGATCCTTGTTGCAGTAACTCAGCCCTGCCATTGTAGCACAAAAGTAGCCGTAAACAGTATGCAGATTGAAGGGGTGTAGCAGTGTTCCACTCAAATTAATTACAAAAAACAGGTAATGGGATGGTTTCTACTAGATTATGATCTTTTTTAAAAGATCTTAATAGTCTAAAAACATTTTATATGTATTTTGTTGGTTCATTCATCTACTAATGGACATTTAGATCATTTCCAAATGTAATTTTTTTTTAATTCTTTGTTTTAGTTTCAAGAAATACGGGATCAACTTATAACTACTATAAGATGTACTAAGGAGACGGAAGGCCATGTACACAAGTAAAATTTGAAGCAGCACACAAAATAACTTGAGTATTTATAAAGCAAAAGAGCACTGTAGTATGAAAATTGTATCAGTTATGATAATAAGTATGCCTTTGTGAAGCCAAAGAAGTTTCATTTGTAAGCTATGTTGAAATACATCATTTTTCTATATTATTCCTAAATTTTTCATATTATCAACAAAACGCAGGTAGAAAAATGACACAGTAGCCCAATCATCTACTTTTACAATTGCTAAGAATTTGTGTAATTATACCTTCAGAAGTTTATGTAGAATTTACATGATGTTAAAAAATTTATGTGTGAGAGTAATTATTTTAAAATGCACATTTTAGGCTTGAAGTAGAAAATGCCATGATGAGAAAAACTATTAAAAAACAGGATGACCAAATTGAGCGGCTTGAGAAAATCCTGCAGCGTTCAAGTTTGGTAAGCCAATCTCTTAATTTCTGTCATACTGAAAAGGAATTTTATTTTTCCAGTAGGACGGGTTAAATATCCCTTGTCCAAAATGCTTGGGACCAGAAGTAGATTTTTTTCAGATTTTGGAATATTTGTGTATACCTAATGAAATACCTTGGGGGTGGTACCTGAGTCTAAACATGAAATTCGTTTATGTTTCATATATAAGTTATGCACATAGCCTGAAGGTAATCCTCTATGATGTTCTACAGTAATTTTTTGCAGGTAACAAAGTTTTTACTGTTTTCACTGCAGCCTGTCACATGAGGTCAGGTGTGGAATGCTGCAGTTGTGGCGTCATGTCCGTGCTCAGAGAGTTTCAGATTGTAGAGCATTTTGGATTTCAGATTTTTAGATTAGGGATGATCAATCTACAGGACAGATGCTCCATGACTTACAGTGGGTTTACATGATAATGTCCCTTGTTTGACTGAAACATTATAAGTAATATTTGATTTATTTCAGATGCTGCCTGTGTTCAGGAAGTAGATGAAGGTATGTTGCCAAAATTTATGAATTAAATTCAAATCATTGATTTCTGAAATAAACGGTATTCCTCTCAATTGCTTGGTTAATAAATGCTACATTAAATATTTTTTCTTACACATATCCAGTGAAAGATGTGAAAACATAAACATTCACAGTGAAGAGTATACTTATGCCTTATTAATTCGTCATGTTCCATAGCTTTAAAAAAATCGTGAGAAGTCTGTGTATCCCTTTTTTTCTGGCCCTACACTTTTCTTCTGCCACCCCTATAGAACTGTCAGCCTGCTCACTGAAACTGTTCTCAGAAAACAAAGGCATCATCAACTTCTCAAGGTTTAAGGTAGTGATTTAAGGCAAACAGACCCCACACTCGTTGATAATAATTAGTTAAGCAATTACAGGTCACAAGCAGTCACTTGACCAGTGACATTTTAAATCTCCAGTCATTCATTGACTTTGTTATTGGTTTACTTTTGCCCCTGGGAAAAGTTGAAAATTCCTTAGCATGGAATCAAAACTCCCACATCAGTGTGGTTCTTGTCAAGTTATTCAGCCTTATATTTCACCAGTTACCACACTCTGCCCCTTTGTTCTAGCATCCAGCCAAACTAGACTACATGGAGTTTCACAGTGATCATCCTCACCTCCAGCTCTTTGCATTTACTTCTTCCCTCTATTCTCCATGTGTTTTCCTTCTCCTTCAGATATTAACCTATGAATTGTCTCCACCAAAAAGCCTACAATACTGACACAAACCTGGGCTAGTATCCCTTCTGTGTTTTCCAGTAAGTGCTGTCTTATGCCTGTCATTGTATGTATGACTCTGTATGGGAATTGCCTGTTTGTTTTTTCAGATTATAGCATACAGTTGTTGAGGGGTGGACCGTATCATCTTTATCTTATAATTCCAGTGCTTGTCCTAGTACCTTAGCACATGGTTGCTGAATACACAAATGAAGAGTGAGAAATGCAGAAGCTCTGATACTTAACTACCATGATAATGAATTCAGTGTGCAACTATGGGCAAATTACATTTAATAGTAATTGCATATTGTACTTATTTTTCATTCTTATTAACACTGATAAACGTTTCAACTCATACTGACTTTCTCTTAGTTAACTGTGAAATCATTTAGCTAAGGAATATAATTCTTTCTTTTTCATTCTGACTTCTTCTGAATTTAAATCCGGATCCTCTATAGCAGGGGTCCCCAACCCCCAGGCCACGGACAGGTCCATGACCTGTTAGGAACCAGGCTACACGGCAGGAGGTGAGTGGCAGGCAAGCGAGTGAAGCTGCATCTGTATTTCCAGCCACTCCCTGTGGCTCACATTACCACCTGAGTTCTGCCTCCTGTCAGATCAGCAAAGGCATTAGATTCTCATAGGAGTGAAAACCCTATTGTGAATTGCACATTCAAGGGATCTAGGTCACATGCTTCTTATGAGACTCTAATGCCTGATGGTATGTCATCGTCTCCTGTCTCTTCAAGATGGGACCATCTAGTTGCAGAAAAACAAGCTCAGGACTCCCATTGATTCTACATTATGATGAGTCGTGTAATTATTTCATTATGTATTACAATGTAGTAATAATAGAAATAAAGTGCACAATAGATGTCATATGCTTGAATCATCATCCTGAAACCATCCCCCAAACCCCCATCTATGGAAAAATTATCTTTCACAAAACTGGTGCCTGGTGCCAAAAAAGTTGGGGACTGCTGCTCTATAGCTTCTGCACTAGAATCTACCAATGAGTAAACTCTAAATCAATAATTAGTTTTAAAAGCATAACAAGAATATGTGCTGGCTGGCTGCAGTGGCTTATGCCTGTTTTCTCAGCACTTTGGGAGGCCAGAACGGATGGATCACTTGAGGCCAGGAGTTCAAGACCAGCCTGGACAATATGGTGGAACCCTGTCTCTACTAAAAATACAAAAATTAGCCGGGAGTGGTGGTGCATGCCTATAGTCTCAGCTACTCAGGAGGCTGAGGTGGGAGAATCACTTGAAACTGGGAGGCAGAGGTTTCACAAGATCGTGCCACTGCACTCTAGCCTGAGCGACAGAGTGACTCCATCTCAAATGCAAAACAAAACAAAAAGAATACGTGCTGACAAAACAAAATCTAAAAGATAAAATTGTATTACTAGACTGTTAACATATTTTGTTTCCCATTAAATGTGTGACATGCAAAGATGTTTATTAAATGAAAATATTTTTGGATCATGCATCAAATTCCACAGCCTCTATAGTTAGTGCCCAAGGAACTGTTTTCTTGACAACTTTGCTCTAGGAGTCGACAGGATTTTGTATTTTTGAGTGTGTTTAGACCACAGAAAACAAAGATGTAAGCATACAATGGGCCCACATTCAGAAGCTATCTCCTCAGGATCAGAGGCTGCATCCAGAGTGTGCATACGTGTGTTTGTCACAGATCCTCTACCAAGCTTAATGGAGAGAGAGTGGGAGATAAATGTCCATACTAATCTTCATCATGTAGTTAGAAAGAATTGAAACACTCATCCAGCCTTCTAACTTTTTAACTACATCTGGATTGTCTGGCTCCTACCTTAACCAATTTTTGGTTACCGGCAAGGCATGGCACATCCTAAGTTCCAGGGAGCCACAAAAAACAAAGACAACACTATAGCACACAGGGATTTGAGAGGTACCTGAAGATCTCTGGCTGGAAAGTTTGGTGAGATCCTTTTCCTACATGAGGCCAGTCTTATCAAATGCACAGGAGCCAACAGAGAGAGTCAAGGAAAAATGAAGAAACAAGGAAATACATTCAAAGTAAGAAAACAAGATAAATCTCCAGCACCTGAGTGAAGTGCAGATATGTAATTTATCTGATAGATATTTCCAAATAGTGGTCGTAACAATAATCACTGAGGTCAAGATAGCTTTGCAAGAACAAGCTGAGAACGTCAAGAAAAGGAAAAACGTTATACAATAATGTCAAACAAATCATAGATCTAAAGTGTACTGTAACTGAACTGAAAAAAATTTAATAGAGGTGTTCATTGACAGAATCTATCAGTGAGCTTTAAGACTGGTCACTGAAAATTATCTAATCTGAGGATCAGAAAAAAAAAAGATAATGCAAAAAGGAGGAAGACAACTTTAGAGAGTTATGGGACACCGTCAAGCAGGACCACTCTCACATTATCGGCATGCCTGAAGGAGAAGAGAAGAAGAAAGGAACAGAAAAATATTTAAAGGAATAATGACATACTTATCAAGTATGGGGAAGAAAACAGAAAGCCTGGTCCAGAAAGCCCAAAGGAAACCAAATAAGGTGAATCCAGGGACTCACAACAAGATACACTATAATGAAATTGTCCAAAGTCAAAGACAAAAAGAGAGTGATATTGTTTGCAAACTTGTACCCTCCAAATACTGTGTCAAGATTTGATCCCCGATGTTGGAGGTGGGACCTAGTGGGAGGTGTTTGGGTCATGGTGGTTGATCTCTCCTGAATAGCTTTTTGCCCTGTTTTCACTAATGAGTGAGTTCACACTGTATTACATGAAAGATGGTTATTTAAAACAGTGTGGCACCCCTCCCCTCTCTTCCTACCTCTCTAGCCATGTGTGACATACCTGTTGTCTCTTCACCCTTAGCCACAAGTAAAAGCCTTCTGGGTCCCTGACCAGAAACTGTGTGGATGCCACTGCCATGCTTCTACAGCCTGCAAAACTGTAAGGCAAACAAACCTCTGTTCCTTATAAATTACCCAGTCTCAGGTATTTTTTTATAGCAACACAAAAATTTGTGTTTTTCTGTGTTGCTCTTTTCTGTGTTATTCTGTGTTGCTAACAGAAATTAGCAACAAGGAGTGGGGTTTTGCTTTAAAAATACCTGATAATGCAGAATTTGCTTTGGAACTGGGTAATAGGCAAAGAAGACAGGAAGATGAGGAAACTTGTGGAACTTATTAGACCTTGGTTAAGTGGTTGACCAAAATGATAATAGGAATGTGAACAGTGAAGGCCATGCTGTTGAGGTACATAAAATACAAATTTCAAGAAGTGGCTGCACCATTTTGCATTCCCACAAGCAATGAATGAAGTTTCCTTTTGTTCCAGATCCTTGCCAGCACTTGATGTTGTCAGTCATTCTAGATTTTGGTTATTCTAATACGTGTGCAGTGGCATCTCATGGTTGCATTTCTCTGAGGAAATATTGTATGTAGCCTCATTACATATGTTTATTTTCCATTTGTATAATTTACTTGGTGAGGTACTTGTTAAGGTCTTTAGCTCATGTCTTTTACTGATCAGCTTTAAGAATACTAATATGTTTTGAATAATAGTTCTTAATCAGATATGTTTTGGCAAATATTTTTTCCATCTGTGGTTTTTCTTTTCTTTCAGTGTCTCTAATGGTGTAAAAATGTTACATTTTCATCAAGTCCAACTTATCAATTCTTTCTTCTATTGACTTCAACTTTGGTGTTTTTTCTAAAGGTCATCATTAAACCCAAGATAATCTGTATTTTCTTCTATATTATCTTCTATAAATTTTATGGGTTTTTGTATATTTATGTTGATGATCCATTTTGAGTTAATTTTGTTGGGGGTGTGTAAGGTCTGTGATTTATTTATTTATTTTTTGCATGTGGATATCCAGGTATTCCAGAAGCCCTTCCTGAAAAAACTGTTTCATCATCATAATACCTTTACTTTTTTGACAAAAATTAATTGAATGCATTAATGTGTTTCTATTTCTGAACTCTCTATCTCATTTTATCCGTTTGTTCTTTCACTGATACCACACTGTCTCCATTACTGTAGCCTCACAGTCAGCCTTGAAATTGAGTAGTGTCTGTCCTCCAAGTTTGTTCTTCTCCTTCAATATGGTGTTAGCTATTCAAGGTCTTTTGCCTCTCCATATAAACATTTTCACTTAGATTTTTAATTGCATTGAATCTATACATTGGAAAGAACTGACATCTTAATAGCACTGAATCTTCTTATGAATATGATATGTATCTCTTTTTGCTTCATTCTTCTTTGCTTTCTTTCATCAGATATGGACATTTCTGGGATTACAGAGCCCCCTCTAAGCACAAGACAGTGAAGAATCCACATTCTTCAGCCAGAAAGTCACCTCTGAGAGCCAAATGTCTGACCATAGACAGGAGAGTCAGAGAACGATAAAGACATCTCAGGAAAATTGTAAAAATAATCAGCAACCGTACGTGGATAACCCTTTCAAATTTCCCAAGGGCACCTGTCATTTCAGCCAATACTTGCCAACTTGTGCCAAGGATGCTGGCGCTCCCTGGGATGAGTTTCCCGGGGGAGGAGCTGGCCACCATCTTTGCTGTTTGGGCGACACAGCCATTCCAGCCTGTGGGCTTTGGACAGTGCAAACTGATGAGGTAGAAGGGATCCCTGGCACAGCACAGCTGCTCTACCAAAATGTGCCCAGATTCTTTTTTTTTTTTTTTTTTTGGAGAAGTCTTGCTCTGTCACCCAGGCTGGAGTACAGTGGCATGATCTCGGCTTACCGCACCTTTCACATCCTGGGTTCAAGCAATTCTCCTGCCTCAGCCTCCGAAATATCTGGGACTACGTGTGCCCATCACCACGCACAGCTAATTTTTTGTATTTTTAGTAGAGATGAGGTTTCACCATATTGGCCAGGCTGGTCTGGAACTCCTGACCTCAAGTGATCCGGCCTGCTGTGCCTCCCAAAGTGTTGGGATTACAAGCGTAAGCCACCGTGACCGGCCCCAGACAGATTCTTTAAGGGGATTCCCAATCTGTTCCTCCCAACCAGACACCCCGCCGGTGTCTCGGGCTGACAGAAATTTGCATTCTCCCTGGGAAGGAGTTCTGGAGTTCCTGTCCAGTGGGAATCCTTCCAACTGGGGCCTGGGGGAGAGGGTGGGGCCAACTTTGGAGAGTCCAAACCGACTGGGGGCAGAAGAGATCCCCCAACACAGCACAACTGCTCTACCAAATAGTGGCCAGGCAGATTCTTTAAGCAGATCCCTGATTCTTTCCTCCTTACGGGGTAGAACCTCCCACCTGGGGCCTCCACCACCTTACCTGTGTTCTCAAGCTGACAGAGATTTAAATTTTCCCTGGGAAGAAGTTGTCGAGGTCCTGCCCAGTAAGGAGTAATGGGCAGGAACCTGGTAAAAGAATCTGCCTTCCAAGATTTTGTAGAGTAGCTGTGCTGTGCTGATGGATCCCTTTTGCCCCTGGTAGGTATGAATTCTCCAAAGCCTGCCTGCTGTAACAACTAAGTTGCACAAACAGCAAAGATGGCTCCTTGCTCCTGCCCATGGGAACTCATTCCAGGAATTCAAATCTCTGTCAGCCTGAGAACACCAGTATGGGTGGCTGGAGGCCCCAGCTGAAAGGACCCTCATTGGGCTGGACCTCCAGGCCTCCATGCCAGGGAGAACTCAAATCTCTGTCAGCCCGAGAACACTAGTGGGGGTGGCTGGAGGCCCCAGTTGGGAGGTCCCTCACTAGAAGGGACCTCAAGAACTGCATCCCAAAGATAATTCAAGTCTCTCTCAGCCCCAGAACACCGGCGAGGG